CTCCTCACACGTACCATTCTCCGACGTCTTACTGGTCCCTGTGATAACCGAATCACTGAAAGCCAGGATGGCTTCCGCACTGGTCGTGGTTGTATAGACCACATATTTACTCTTCGTCAAGTATTGGAGCAGACACACATACAGACGACCGACAATGGTGATTTCCCTTGAATTGAAAGCTGCCTTCGACTCTGTGGACCGCGCTAGCTTGTGGCGCTGCCTATCCATGAAGGGCGTGCCGGCTGATTTCCTTTCCCTTCTTTAGTCCCTCTACCGTGACTTCCGAGGATATGTAAGGGTCTACGGGAAACTGTCTCTTGAGTTCCCCACGATAAGTGGGGTTAGCCAAGGCTGTCCTTTATCGCTTTTCCTCTTCAACTTTTTGTCGAAATGATCACGAGTGACTGTTCTTTCGGACTCTATCCGAGTGGAAGTTCTACCCGGTGACCGACTGACAAACCTGGAGTATGCGGATGACACGGCTTTTCTTGAGTCCGACGCATTGGCTATGCAAACACTGCTAGATAGACTGACGCGTAGCGCCGCATGCTTCGGCATGTGCTTTGCATCTAAGTGCGAATTACTGCCGCAGGACTGAACTGACACACCTCCGGTTCTAGCTATCATCGAACAACCGCTGAAAGTAGTGGATCGGTTCACTTACCTTAGTGGCTGTGTCAGCTCTAGTGGTCACATGACTGAAGAAGTTATTTTGCGTATCAGCAAGGCCCTTTTGGCTTTCCAGAGACGGCGGGATATCAGCCTGTCAGTGGGGTGTGTAGCGCTGCGGTAAGGCCGGTCTTACTATATGGTTCAGAGACCTGGCCGGGTTGCGGCGAAGACATCAGACGCTTGGCCGTGTTTGACCACCGATGCTTGCAGAGTATTGCTCACGTCTGGTGAAAACACCGCATGAGCAATGCTGAGGTCCACCAGTTGGCTTTTAGCATGAAGCTTTCTGGTGCCTCACTGGAGTGTCTGATGAATATTAATCGCTTACGTTGGCTAGGCCATGTCTTCTGTATACCCGTTAACTGTCTTCCTCGGCATGCACTATACGCCGTGGCTGGACCAAGTTGGGTGAAACCGCGAGATGGCCTATGATGTGTCATAGTGGCATGAAAAAAACTAATTGAAAGACTTGGTCTGGCGGGTGCATGCCGTCTTCGTGAATGGTGGCCTTGGGATGTCCCACGCCAATGGTTAGAGGCCGTATCTGACATGTCACAGTTACGCAGCCAGTGGCGTTCCTGCATTCGGTTTCTTGAATCTGATTGTTAATTTTCTTTCCATTCTGATTAGTTTAACGCACTTCCTTCTTGCTCCCATTTTTTACATTCTATTTGCCTTTATCCCATTATCTTGCCGTTGTTCTTTTTTGTTATTCTTGCATGCGATCCACGGCAACTGGATCCACCACACTTCAGTGCTCGGATCATAGTTGATCAACTGAACTCAACTGATGAAAAGCTAATTGGTTTTGATTATACGGGCGATATTGTCTTGCTTTTTAACGATGTGGCAGCCCAGTCAACCCTAAACACCCACTCAATTGTGGTCCCATCATTTGGCATACACTTCGTACCTAAATGCAGTGCTGTTGCAAGACCACCAACCCCTCGCTGACCCCTTGACCATTAATTACTAGGAACTCGAGGTAGTTGGTCTATTCACTTACCTTGGCAGCTGCATCACCAACGATGGGCGCTGAAGTCAGTTCACGTATTGCAAAGGCTAGAATGGCCTTTTAAATCTGCAACATCTTTGGCGTCAGAACAATGTTTCCCTCCGTCTGAATGATTGTGTTTACTAGGCTACAGTGAGGGTCGTCCTGCTGCATGGTAGTCAGACTTGGACCCTTTGGTTTGAGCATCTGAGGCACCTGCGGAACATTGCTGGCGTCGGATGGCACCAGCATGTTCGCAACCATGATAGGCGAGTGCTAGATGGGGATAATTATGCTGGTTCCTTAGAATAACAGATAGCACTGAACAAGTTACGTTGGCCTGGGTACGCACAACGTATGCCCGGTCACCGCTCGCCGAGGAGGGTCTTGTATTGGTTGCTAGACGTTAAGTGTCATATCACTCGATGTGGACAAACGTTAACTTGGCAGCGGCATAGTAGCTGAGGTGTTTTCCCCCTAAGATGTATAATGATGATGAAACGGTGCTGCTGGTCCGTCTTGCCTTCCAGGCTGGAGTTCATGTGACTCGCCTCGTGCTTGATTCGAGACTCTACAAGACATGGCTCGCAGTCGACACCAGTGGCGCATCTGCTGCCGTCTCTTAGTCTGACTGCCTGTTTAAAGTGTATTGCTGCGTTATTTTCGAAGTAATGGCTTATTGTGACGCAGTGCAATAAAAGCCGCAAGGAAGCTGTCTCGCTGATGCCGCCTTATCTCCGTACGATAGACGGCTATTGTGACGGTGTTGTTGACAATGTGTAGTCCCTCTGACCCTGAATGCTTATTATGCTTCATTACCTACGTCACTACGGTTTTATGGCAGCGAAGCATCAGTCCACTTGGCGGATGTAATGTTGAGGACAATAATGATGATGACGTGTCGTGCGCACTTCACGTGTCACGATGACATAGCCGAGCAGGTGGGTGCGTCCAAGTAGCAATATCACTCGCATCAAGTACAGAATATGTATTCGTGATCATCTGGTCACGAGTGGCGCACAGTGAGGGTAGCCAGTCACCGTTTCCAATACCATATGTCTGTCTACATCTCGGTGTCACGCCCGACGCGTGCATTGAAATCACCCAGTAGGAATAGCTGGTCGCTCACGGGAACAGACTGTATCACAGGATGTTCCTTCTAATGAAGACACGCCGAACTCAGAGTAGATTAACCCTACATTGCCTTGAAGACTGTGACTAGAATCGAGCTCTCTCATAAATTCTTCAGTCATGCACAGTCACGCACGATACTCGCTGAAAAGGCATAATGGCATCGCAAGTAATCCCTACGATCCGCCGTCGAGGTATTCGGAGTACACCAGAATCAAGAATACACACTTTGAGCTTTTTCAGCAAATCCGTTTTACTCGGTATCAATGACTATCGCGTGTGCTATGAATTTTTATATCTGTGATGTCGATCGCACGACACGAACCTATACATTACAATTAAACATATACGGTTGCCGTTCGCATGCAGGTGCGATTTTTAGTTATATGCAGTCATATTTTCCGCAAGATTTGTGTATTATCTACAATCCCTTGATTCTGAGCCTCATCACCATCATCGTCAATACACGTTGGTTGAGGGTGAGAAACATACCTAAGCTAAGGTACCGCAATGCGACAAAGATAAGAGCTATAGCATTACAGGTTAAAAACGCTAAGAAAGTAACACAATGCTAAAACCACATTGTGCATTGGGTTGAAATCGTTATTAGAGGGGGAAGCTAAAGAGGAGGGGAGGGACAAAGAAACTCAACGCAAAGGCCATTGAGGTCGGCTCCTCGACATGTTATCTAGTGTACCCAACCAAACGTGTTCATCGTCCTTCGGACCCCAACCCGGCAGTCGGGAAACACCAACCGACGCCAAGTTCGAAGTGATGGACTTCATTCCTCTTGACCAAATCATTGTTTGGCCTCCCCTCCTCTTCTTCCACCTAGACCCCGGCCGCGTAAACAACGCACGATGCGAGAGTCAGTGCGTTGGCCTTGTTTTTCTTGCCCTGCTACAGCAAGACATCCCAACTCCCTGGATTTTCAACGATTCGATTTTTCGGATCTGTTTGTTTTCACTCTTCTCGGCACCCATCATGTATGACACGTATATGCGCGGACTATCCTACTTACTGAGTGGATACGATGCACAAACACACTAACTTGGTGTGCAGCTCCTCCTGGTCTGTAGAATCTTTTACATCGGAAAATTGTGTATTCTGTTTGAACATTGTTCTACCTTGGTAATTCGCTGTTGAGTCATGCAAACAGCTTGTCCAAATTGATGTTATTAACTGAATCTTTTGCTAATTTGCGCAATTAAATACATATATATCTATTCATATTGCGAAAGGCAAAAATCATCTGTAGGCCTGCGGCATCTGTGGTGTCAGAAGCGGTTTTCTTCAATCTGATATGCCACGTACAAGGACATAGTGAAGGCCGCCCTGATCCCTAGGTGTGAGACAGCCCCTTCGATCAAGGGATGTGAGCCGTCTCCAAATCTCTGATCGTCGTTGCCTACAACACATGGCTGGTATCGAATAGTGCCAGCGTTCCATCAGCAATGGTGTGCACAGGCAAACAACTACATAAATTGTATAATGTGGTTTTTAAGGACACACAGTGATAAGCAAGCCACTTTCTAACGGCGAAAAGTAACCCCGTATTATTTGGCTTGGTTTGGGTGCAGGCTCTATAGACCTGGTCACTACTTAGCTAATATAATTTTTCTTTGTTTATCGATTGCAGGAAGGTGCAGGGCTCGTGGAGTTGAATGGCTGACTTAAAGGCAAGAAATGTAATCACAGACGTATATACAGCGTGCGTTTGATCTGTTTTGTTTTCCAAACTAAAATTCGCGCGACCCACTTTGTGCTTAGTTCGAGACTGAAGGAAATGGCTTACTGCTCGCACATGTGACCTTCTTGTTGTCGTCTGCTAACTGGACTGACTGTTTAAAGTGTTTGTTGCTGTTATATCTACAGGGAAAGCTGATTATGGTGTGGTGCAGTGAAAGCCTTAACAAGTCAGTTTCACTGATACTGTCTTATAGTTACAAGAAGGCTAGCTGTTTGTGACCGTGTTGTTGAAAGTGCATAGGCTTTTAGGTCTTGCAATTTACCATGCTCCTCATTCATTTTTATTCCATGGGTCCTCATGGTTACCCAAAAACTAAGTATAGGTTCCAATTGCCTGTGCACGGCTGGTGACGATGATGATGGTGATGAATGGACCGACTTTACAGCGCGGTTAGTGTTGCAACCAACAACTGTTCTTCTCTACGAACTAATCATTATCCTCTGACTATGCTCTATGCATTTTCTCTTCCCACTCTTATCCTACTTGTTTCCGCTCTCATATCTACAGGACGACGATCATGTGGTGATTCCGGAGGGGGTTGTGGGCTTTCAGGTGCGTCATTTTTCAGATAGTTCTCATTTGTGTTAGAAAGTCTTACGTGCGCCAATTCGGAGCGAGAAGTATCCTTACTGCATGCTTATACGAAACTGATTCATATCTTAAACTTTTTGAAATTATTAACTCCTCTGACCATGCTTTACGAGGCGTGTCTTGTGAAAGTCGTGAACTAATTATTATTATTATTATTCCGATGTATCTAGTTAGAAATTTCCTTTTGCTATTCGGATTCCACTAGTCTGACGTCGAGTAGATCCTGTGAGCTTTACTGTCAGTGTCCCTAGGGTTCGTTTCTCGCATAGGAATCGACCTTTGGCCGAATGAATTAACCGTCTGGCTTGTAACCCGTAGGCCCATATGCTCGGATGCGGATGGTATCACGGTATACCGAGCCGTCGCGCAACTGGTGGTCGTCACATGTCAGCGAAGCGTCGATGCGATGTGCCGGCCTACTGCTTATTCCTCTTTTCACATATGGAATGACCGACGCATCCATCATGTACTCCAGCTATAGAGGTTACTGACTATGCCCCAGTAGTAGGTTTCCCTGTTGTGAACGTCGGTTGCGCTGTTCAAGTTACCTAGCTCCATTATAGGGATATCGCACAGTTTGCTCCTTCTACCTGCAATGACGACAGCCTCCAGCGAATAGTTCCGAACATTTTTTGTTTGGAATGAGATACCAACAGTGTTTAAGTTGGGGTCAGCTATATCTCACAACAGAGAACGCCGCTGCTTGCTTAGGAGTAGAGTTTACTTTGTCTGACATAACTTACAACCCACATAAATCCCGAACTCACATAAATTCCACGTAAACTACCAGACTGCAAATTACCCGGCAGTCTATTTTAACACCGGCCGAGTGGTTGCCGAGTCCGGTTTGAAAGTGTGTCCCTTGCCCACACGCAACCAGTGGATTTCATGTGGCTGCGAAGTGCTGTTGTGACTTACCGGCATAGATGGTTTCTCTAATCATCTGTATATTTGCTTTTATCGGTACTCCTGTTGGTATTGATAGCATCAGGCTTAGTTGTTCTATTGCACTTTATGCGGTAGCAACCGTACGTATTTTATACTTTGACCAACCTCGCATAAGGGAGCTGTTAAATGTTGCCCTAGGTGCGCATTCTAGAGGAACCACATTGACTGCAATTACGTCGTAAGACAGTGATTGAAAAGTCCACGTTTTAGTTTGCTTGCATTATGTATCAACTCGATCGTAATAAGACATACAATCGGTCGCACAGACATAATCCACTTAAAGTGCCTTAAGGTATCCGCCGTACAACTAAATTCTACTTGATGACTGGTTTTCCACCTTTTCCTACATCGAACCTTACAAGACCAAACACATTTTCTGTTAGCGAATTTATCCGCTTGCGACAACCGTTCTGACCGTGCATAAATGACTGGGAGTGAATTAGCATCGAATGACTAAGGAGGTGTCAATACTAGAACGCGATCAGTGGTCTGCTTCAGTAAATCGTCGAGTAAACTTTCTTTTCTTAGTACATCAAAGGCGACAAAACGAGCACCGACTATTTCACTGGATATTTTGCCACTCCGGAAGTTCAAGGATGCCATATAATTCTTACAACCAGATTAGAAAACGGACTTCGTGTTTTTCACATTTAACGAAGGTAAGCTACTACGTGACGACTTTCTGTAATGCGCAACATTCCCACATTGCTTCCGTGGTGAACTAGGCTGACAACAATTACTCAAAGAATACCAATGACGGTTTTGGTAATGAGCCAAATGTTGTTCCGCTCTGTTTTTACTTACTTCCCTTAGCCTGGAATTGGACGTCCCTCGTGTACATCATTGGTTACTATTTCGGTCAGTAACATTAAAATGTCACTTTCGAGCTGCATCGTTAGGACATTTTCGTCTTCTGTAATGACGCATTAGTAAACGCCGATGTGAATCAGACGAACCTACTCCGATTGCATCGTAAATTATACGATGGTAAGTGTATCACAAAGATTCCTTACCGGTTGCGTTGTTCGAAAATCGCTTGTGACTGTCTGTTTTGGTTTTGAAGGTGGGTAATAGTCCACTTGTTTTTCAACTGGTTTCTGTCGATGGCATGTTTCTTACTTCCTTTTATCATTCTGAGACACTTGGCGGCGTCGACACTATCTCAAACAAATGCGTTAATGCAGATCGCAAAGGGAGCGATCCGCAGCCGATACTGCTGGGTTGTGACTACTCACCTGGAAGTTGGCTGGGTGAAATTGATCGGTGCACACAGGATAGCTTTATTGGTTCGGTCGCCGTTGACCGATACTTTGAAAGTCCGTGTTTACTTTGACTTTATGTGCACAAACCAATCACCGTGTATCACCTTATGCGCTGATGCCCTTTCTTTATTGAATGCTCGAGGGCTGTCGCATTGGAATACCCTACTGTAGAGCCAATCGCATGTCCCACGTGCTACACTATTTCTTTCTCAATTTTTAAAGCATTCATTTTGTCTCATTGTTTGTTTTTCCTCACTAATTGTTTGTTCCCTACAGGCCTTTAGCGGTACAGGTCATCGTTTGGATGGGAAACAGAAGCCACCGGAACCCAGTCGATCATCTTCTGAAATTAGCTCTGGAAGACGCGAACGGTACGTTTTTGCACGCCATACCTGTGTTTTCGTTCTCTTACAACCTCACACTTTCACGATTGGTTGCGTCTGCTTGATAAGCGGGCGCCCGAACAACTACGCGCCACAGACTAGATCATTTCGGTTCATTAGCATAACCATGATCCATACATCAAATTTATGTGGATTCCATTATTGTTGCTGCTATCGTTATGATGGAGAATCATGAGAGATATCATCAACATCATCATTACACACGTTAGTTAGAGGTGGGAAACACAGCTACTATGCCGCAATACATAGAAGAAAAAAGGAGAGAAAAAAATGCAACTGGTGTAAGCCGGCTAAGCTACCGGTAACGGATGGGCATCGTCCCGCTAAGCTACCAGCCGGCTGCTGTGCATCCAAAAATAAATTACTATGCAAAATTATATAAGGCTAAATAGTGAGATCGTGGCTGTAGGGGAGGCTAAAAGGGATGGGGAGGGACAAAGAAACTCACAGTACGAACGCCAATGAGGTCGGATCCTAGCCATATCAGCAAGTGTGTCCAACCAAACGTGTTCATCCTCTTTCGGATCCCAACCAGGGAGCCGAGACTCTCCAACCGAGGCCAGCTCTGAAGTGAGGGCCTTCATTCCTCTCGACCTAGTCATCGCTTGGCCTCCCCTCTTCCTCTTCCATCCACACCCCCGGTGCGCAAACAGCGCACGTCGCGGGAGTCGGTGGGCTGGCATGCGTAACACGTGGCCGAGCCATCGGAGCCTGATGCATGAAATAACGGTGCTGAGCGGTTCATTTCCTTTTCCTGTGCCGTAAACAAGGCGTCGAACACGCTCGTTGCTCACGCGGTGTTCCCACCAGATGTGAACTAAATTGCGAAGTCACCGGTGGTCGAACGTAACTAGCCTCTTCAGGTCCGATGCTCTAAGGAGCCAAATTTCACAACCGTACAGTAGGGTCGAAGGTACCGCTGCATTGTACACTCTACACATCCAGGCAAGCACAAGCTTTCCCGTTTTCTTATTCCTCCTCTTACGCTTTTTCACCCGTATCGTCCCGTTCCAGATTCACTTTTATCCCCCCTGTTTTCAACCCCCAATTCTTGGCCCTCCCCCACCTTGCTTCAATAGTCGCTTGTCTTTTGGTTTCAACTCACATATAAACGCGGATCGTCATTCCTGCGCTGTCAACAGGCCCATATCCAAGCAAGCGCTCAAGCCCAGTTCATCTGCTTCCATTTGGAGCCCTTGATCCTCCTTCAGATTGGCATGCCTCAATGTCCGTACATTGCTTCGGATCGGCCAAGAGGCAACACTTGTCCGAACATTAGAGACCCTCTCGATCGATATCTGCTGCTTATCGGAGACCCGCCTGTAAGACTTGAGCTCTGTGCTCGCTCTGCGATCCCTTCAGGTGACACTAGCAGCACTTTCTCATTGCGCCTATCCGGTGACGATGCAGCTTCGAGCACCGGCCAAGCCGGTGTTGGTATTGCCCTGAGTCCCCGGGCTGAAACTGCTCTGGTTGATTGGATTCCAATCAGTAGCCGGTTGTGTGTGGTCCGATTGGCTGGCTCGTTCAAAGCTTCGAAGTCGCATGGGACTAACAGGTGTCTATTCGTTATCGCTGCCTATACACACACAAACTGTAGCGATGATTCGGTAAAAGACGACTTCTATCGTCAACTAAACGAGCTCCTTCTCCACAGAAGAAGCTCGGACACCATAGTGCTGGCTGGGGATCTGAACGCTCAAGTTGGAAAATTATCCACTGATGAACTGCATCTGGGCGGCCAACATGGTGTAAGCTCCAGTAATGATAACGGTGAGCGATTACTTCATTTGTGTGAGGATGCTCGCTTATTTCTTGTGAGCACTTATTTCCGACACAGCACCCGCCGGAGGGTGACTTGGCGCCCACCAGCCTTGAACGCAGATCGATCACATTGCTATCAGTTACCGATGGAGAGGCTGCGTCAAGAACTGTCGCTCGACTTGGAGCACATGTGTAGACACCGATCATGCACTTGTATGTGCTGACCTGCGGATGCGCTTTGGCGGACGCCCGCGACGATGTTGTGAGCGCATTGACACCGGCAGACTGGTGAATCCAACTGTTCTGAACGCCTATCAAATTACGCTGTCATCCGAGTTGGATAAACGCTCACTGGATGCAGTTGATGCTCACTCGTCTCATATTCACCGGACCTTACTAGCAGCAGAAAAATCCTCATAATGTAAGTCCAGTCGCCAACATGGGCATTGGATCTCTTCGCAGTCTCTGGAACTTATCGATGCTCGCCGGCATATTCCGGCTGGAAGCGAACACAATGAAACTCGCAAAGAGCTCCGGGAAAGACTCCGTGCTATCCTGTAGAGGGACCGCGAGTCCTGTTGGTCTCATCGTGCATGAGAGATGGAAATGATCGCTGCGCTTGGTAACCACCGTGAGTTATTCCGCCTGATACGGGAAACGGGCAGCAGAAGACCTGGTGGACAGCCTATTCACAACTTGTCAAAACGCTTAGAGCGTTCGGCTGAGCATTTCGAAAGACAATTTAATCGGTCGGAATTGTTAGATTTCTCGCGGGCCACTGATCGCCCCGCTCCGTGGGCTGTCAGTTTGGATCCACCCTCTCGCTCAGAAGTCGAACGTGAGATCGGACTGCTGAAGTCAACTAAAACCGCGACACCAGATGATCTTCATCCAGCCCTATTCAACTTCTGGGGACCTTCTCTTGTGGATGATATACACGAGTTACTAGTGAAACTGTGGGAGCAAGAAACTGTCCCAATTGACTGTAGCCGCTCCGTCATAGTCCCCATTTTCAAGCGATGCTCACGATCGGAATGCGGCAGCCATAGAGGAATCAGTCTGATCTCCATTGCCTCCAAATTGCTTGCCTCTGTCATGCTTCACAGACTGACTGACACTCATGAAAGCCAGATTCGTGAAGAGCAAGCCGAGTTTCGTCGAGGTCGTGGCTGCATTGACCACATCTTCACTTTGCGTTAGTTGTTGGAGCACCGTCACATATATTGGCGGCCCACCGTTGTCGTGTTCCTCGATATCAAAGGTGCATTCGTTTCGGTGGATAGTCGTGCACTTTGGGACTGTCTACTCAGGAAAGGTGTGCCTGAGAAATATGTAAATATTATCCGATCATTATACGCGCGTAGCTCGGGCAGAGTGAGGGCTTACGGCAAGTTGTCGTCGTCCTTTAATATCTCCAGCGGTGTGAGACAAGGATGCCCGCTGTCACCTTTCCTCTTCAACTTCGCTGTTGACCAAGTCTTGGAAATCACGTTCACAGGACACGACTTAGAAGGTGTGGAGCTATTCCCAAGAGAACGATTTCTTGACTTGGAGTATGCTGATGATATTGCCCTAATCTGTGACAGCTCCCAGACGTCCAAGCGGCACTGCACAGATTAGCACTGGCTGTCAACCGGTTCGAACTTTACTTCGCACCCTCGAAGTGCAAAGCGTTCCTCCAAGATTGGCCTGGACAGCCTCCTTCGCTGACCCTTGCTGAGGATCAGCTAGAAGTCGTTCAAAAATTCAACTACCTGGGAAGTTGTATCAGCGCCCGTGGGATTGAAGATGAGATCACGAACCGTATAGCAAAAGCTCTAGGCGCTTTTGCTAACCTTCGCCACTTATGGCGCCGGCGCGAATGAGGGATAACTGAATTTTCAAACTGCGAAAAAGAGATTATGATAAAGTGAGCAATAACGATCGGATGGATATGTTAACGATATACCGGATGTACGAATGCGATTGACTCAACTCGTGTACTGCCTAATTTTTCCTCAATATGTATTTTGAGTCATTTGTTATATAAAATATCCACCACGCCGACAAAACTCTAAGTGGTCATGGACACATTTTTGTTTCTTAATCAGATAGCATGTGTTACTAATAAAGAGTTTAAAGCACATGACACCCGAGTAGTGATTGGATCAGTTAATGGGTTGAATCATCGATTCTGAGACCCATGCAGAAAGACGGCGCGCATCCACCTTAACAATTCTCAGTCAATTTCTTCATTATTCCTCATCGTGTCATCGACTAATCACAGTTTTTGCTCATAGTCCGAGTTATCAGATGCCGCGAAATATCTTCTAAGCTAACCTTTATCTTATTTTTTATTGCTACCCAACTTTCGTGATCTTAGTTACTAAATTACCAAACGGCATGCATTACCTCAGTATGTTTCTTAGTATGTGCCTAATGTAAACTAAACTTCAGGTTGGTAGACTATGTGTACTTTAGTTTCACACATTCCATCCATTCTTATTCGTCCGGCGATTTCTTGTGCAGATAGCACGTGTCACTCAAATCACCACATTTATTCACGTGTCAAACGACCTCGCTTTTGGAGCTTGCTGCATTCATTCAGAACTTTTCGCAGTTCATTGAAGCCGTGTACTCAGTAAATACGAACCTTGTTTAGTTCACCTATTGTTGGGGACCGGTTTCTTAGCTTTGCACTTTTACTTCTGCATTACTTTGTAAAAGGCGCTACTATCACGTTGATATCACGCAAACCGAATCGTATTCAAATTGTTCGCCTTTGTCGCTGCTCAACTTGTCTTCATCGTCGGCAATGTTAGTGCAATCAACCCTGTACTTCAATCTCCGCACTGTACACAGTGCTTTCACCCAAAATTAGTTTAGACAAAGGCCATTTTCTTTTACGGAAGTATTCGTCGAACTTCTTGAATCATCACTCAGAAATGGTATGCTCTTTATCTCCGGTGCTTAATAATAATAGTAATAATAATAATCACAAAGTGTCAGCTATACGCCGTAAGGGCGCTTCGTTGCCGCAAGACCACCACCAGTCGCATGCGAGCTGTGTATACCGCGAGGACGCCCACCCCTATGCGGATTTGAACCGGGGACCTTATAGTTGTAAACCAGGCACGCAGACCACTCGCCCACCGGGCGACATCTCCGGTGATCTGAGAGCATTAGCAGATTCGGTGCATGTTGTCTGCTTACCCAAATTCACAAATTTCAATTTTGCTAATATGATTCGTGTATTTTTGAAACCGAGAAGCAATGACTCCGAATCGCCCTATTGTATTGCGACATTATAGCTGGGGGGTTTCTCACCTTTAGCCAACATGTCATCATCATCATCATCATACACGTTAGCTAGAGGTGGGAAGCACCTCAGCTACTGTGCCGCAATACAAAGAAAAAAAGAGAGAAAAAAACTGGTGAAAGCTGGCTGAGCTACCGGTAACGGATGGGCATCGTTCCTGTAAGCTACCAGCCGGCTGCTGTGCACCCAAAAAAAATTATTATGCAAAATTATATAAGGCTAAGTAATGAGATCGTGGTTGGAGGGGGAGGCTAAGTGGGATGGGGTGGGACAAAGAAACTCACAGCACGAACGCCCATGAGCTCGGCTCCTAGCCATATCAGCAAGTGTGTCCAACCAAACGTGTTCATCCTCTTTCAGACCCCAACCAGGGAGCCGAGACGCTCCAACCGAGGCCAGCTTCGAAGTGAGGGTCTTCATTCCTCTGGACCAAGTCATCGCTTGGCCACCCCTCCTCTTCTTCCATCCACACCCTCGGCGCGCAAACAACACACGTCGCGAAGTCGGTGGGCTGGCATGTTTGCGTTTTCTCTTGAAGGACGATGTGGCATGTATGAATACCATAGTCTTTGTAGCCCCTTTAGGTGTCTCTTTGTTGAGTAATGCCGATTTCATGAGGATTGCATTCCAATCCATGGAATTAATAGGGAGGTTCCATCTGCATTGGCTATGCTTGTAATGGTGCCATTTGGATAGCCACTTGTCAAAGCGTCTCAACACTTATGGGCGACCATTTGGAAGCAAAGCCAAATTATCCTATGAATACATAGGTTTCGCATTCTTCCTATGGCCTTTAAATAACGCCATACCAGTTGCCACTGAAGCGATAACTGATTAACAAAGTCGCCCATGGGTGTGGAGACTCACTAATGTCGTGTAACCGCCACACTTGGAATCCTCTTAGTTTGTGTTTAGTCATCAAATGTGATAGAAGTAAGCACCCATAGAACATTCGTTGTTCAGCTTCAGGTTGGTCTGCCTACTTCAATGAGAACAATGTCCCCTATGGTCGTTGCAATAACAATCACACAAAATTGTCCAACCGCATAGCAGCCATTGTAAATTCAGCTTACGGTGTGCTGTGTCCTAGCCACGCGCATGCCTGCCTGACTCCCTCAGATCTAAGGAACTGCGGAATACCAGTTAGAAGAGTGCCTGTCTACGCCACCATCGTAACCATGGTTAGGCCGCTGAAATAAGCCACCACCAGGTAGCGGCTAGCGATCAATAAGTATAGACCGCCTCATATGGTGGTTTGTATGTCTGTCCGCACTGGTTACGGCGTAAGCTTCGGATCTCCTCCTTAGACAGGAATCACAAGTCGCCCATTGGACGGTTTCAGTTTGGAGAGAAATCATCGGGGTTTCCTTCAGACGCGCATCAGGGCAGCACAGAAGGTGGTGCTCGACCACTTTCATTGGACTGTCTGTCGCTTATGCTTGGGGCTTCCAACCGGTGTCTCATTGGTTAACGTCCCATGATCAGTGAGAGTGCCAACAATGCCAAAACAGCGTTTTTAGCCTCGCGAAATTGAATGCACAGCACGCGATTTCGAAAGTCTGCCATGCTAGAAGCTTGGCACAGTGCGCTAACATGCCTATAGAGTGGTGTAGTCTGTATATCTAATTCATCATTCCTAAACAGAAACAATTCGTCAGCAGAAACTGGCGCACCTACATTCCTCTCCTTGAATCCAGTTCTTTATTTCGGTTTTGCGTAATCGATGATCTGCATTTGTTATGCATTTCCAAATGACTCCTGTAGCCGGTTTCAGTGGGATTCACTATAGACTCTGCAATCAAAATCGCCGCTATCGTGAATAAGATCGTTGCTTCAAAGGCTAAGGCGATTTCCCACGAACACATCTGCGCTTCCCACCGTACCGTTTTAGCCACATCCAGGGGCTATAAACTACCACGAATAAAACTTCTTTCGCAACTGCCAGATAAAGCGCATTCTATGCTCACAAGATCCCGTCATCATTCTTCCTTCGATTGAACCGCCGTGACACCAATGTCATCGTTCACCAGAATGGTTAATTGAGACAGAGTGGGTTCACTGCTTAAGGCGGATGTATCACCACTATCGGTCGCATCACTGAGAAGGTCGCTGTGCATATCAACATGCTCAGTGTGACCTTCTGAAGTCTGATGCATCTATGGAGGCTGTTGACTATTGCCTCAGTATTGATGGCCGTTGCGCGCTAGTTAGGAGACGGATCACCTTCGGTATCTGATGGGACTGTCAAGTGATGTCCACCAATTGTTTGGCAAGAACTCACTTTCACACTTAAATCTCTGACATTGGGTGGACCATATTTACCCCATGTCGCCTCATCTTTGCACGATAGCCAACTCTTTGTGACCGCATGTTGTCTACGTAAGGTGTAAGCGCCTTGACCCTGTGTTTGCTTAGGGCACTAGGGTTTTCAGGTAAGTCCACTTCCTTTTATTATTCTTTATTCCATAGGCCATCATGGTTGTATGGCATTGCAGCATCAGCTCAAATGGTTGATGTACTGCTGTTGTTCATTGATTGATTCTTGACCCTATGTCGATAGATCGCTTCCGTTGTGCATTGGGCCGTTGCTGCATATGTGCGTAATAGCGTGGCGAGCGGTATGTGACGCTGGAGAAAAGTGTGTTAAAATTGTCTGAGATTCTTGGCCGGGTTTGAGGATAGTGTACTCAGCCACAGCAGTGAGTTGGCATTTTATTAGACTACTCGGTCATCTGGTTATGCCTTGCGTACTGCCGCATATATCTGCTAGCATTCTAACTCACCGCGCGCGACTGGTGGTGGTTGCGCGGCAGCGACGCTACGTTACGATGTACAGCTGACAAATTATTCTAACCCACCACTCTTTCTTTCATTCCTCTGTTTTGTTGTTTTTTGCTGTTGTTCCATTCCATCCTCCCAACTGTGTATTATTTTCATTATTATCATAACGGCGCTATTCAGAACAACCGAACTCGGATCGCATTCGTCCAGCTGCACGGAATGGAACCGCTGTCGTCGGGCTTTGACGAGTTCTCTTTCCTTATCTGCATTTGCTCTTTAATGCGTCATCAGTTTTTACATTTTGTGCGTCTTTGGATTGCATTCAGGTGACTATACAAGAGCTATAATGAGCCGTCTCTTTCCCTTCTAGGGGGATTCCGAATTATTCGTACCAGCCCGGTAGCTTGACCTTTTTTCGCAACACTAAAGTGTGTGCGACGCAGGTGAGCCTTACGTTGTTATTTCTATAAGCGTTTGGCGTTCGCCTGTCATTTAACGAATTGTGATTTCCGTCAAAACGCGGTCCTTTAGATGTTTGCATTGATCTACACTACGAATTCGAATAGCATAAGCCTAGTAAAACGACCCACCAATTGAATTACACCGATGTTCACGACCCTGACAGCCTTATTGTGTAATGCTCCTTTCCTCTTTAATCGTTATGCTGTTCACCATGTTTACTTTTGTTTGTTCTGTTGTTCATGCGAAAGTGAAGCTCGGTTTTCGTCAGGCTCGTGCATTTGCGTCTGACTCGGTGAGTAACTCCTGTGGCGATCATCTGCTTGATCTTTTGAAGCCCAGTCGACCATCAACCATCCAGTGTCCTAGGAGTTTTTTTCAGAGTGAGGGTGACGTATACCGTCCTATTCCTTTTAATATCGTCACTAATTCAGTGATTGCAAAGAGCGAGATAGTATCGTAAGCGACTGAATGAAAACGCTACGCACATAGTCATGTATACTGCACCGCGGTTGGTCCAATCCAACAATGAGTTTAAGCGTCAGGGATTTTGCAATCGGTGTGCAGTTCTCCTGATTCCCCCCATTCAACTTATACTTTACTGTTCCTCAGATATTTGACTACAGCATGCTCGATGTGTTCGTATGGTGTTATCATGTTTGTGTCGCCCTGAACTTTTGCACGTACTGGCAGCGGTTCAACTCGTCCGCTTTGTCACTACTCCCGACTTCGCGTACATGCAACGACCTTGAACTTTCATTGTAAACCCCTCCCCGCCTGTCGGCACACACCGGTTTGCATCTCCGCCCTATCTTCGAAACATGTACCCACCCATCGCACATGTCTCATCTGTTGTCTTGTTTCCCACAATCAGCCGCATAAATACCTGTCCATCCATCGACTGACCGGCCTTAAGCCGATCTGTTCAGTTCCTGTCATTTGCACCTTTGACTTCCTCCGACATTGGTGGTTTCGTGATCGTTGGTTGTTTGAGCGTGTTTGTACAGTGCTGATTGTTGTTAACCAGAGACAGCAAACATTTAAAGCCTGTCATTGTGCATCACTAAATTTTTGTAAATGTCACCGTAGATTCCGGATCCACTCGGGTTTTGAATCATCGGGATCGTTTCTACGCTTGGCTCCATGACTGCGTTTTGGTCGTTACACCTAACGAACTCTGTTCACCGTAAGCAAAGTGGTTTCTAAGATAAGTTACTAGTAGAAATCATAGACGCTTTTGGGATCAGTTTTGTGGTGGTGCCGATGAGATTACGCTCGTTAATGTTAACACGGTAATTCGGTAACTTGGCGGTCGAATCCAGACAGATTTGCTTTCAGAATTATGGCACCCAGTTGTAATCAGAAGGCTACCTGGTTTCTGAATCAGGTGAGCAAAGGCGCCAATCAAGGATGGGCAGCAGTCCGGGCCACCTGAAGACAATGATAGGAGCTTGGATCAGCGATTGACCACCGTTGCACGGGCCGGATGGACGGCGTAGTATTGGTTCGGCCCACCACGAACAAAGTACAGTTACAGTTAAGGGGAAAGCAGATTTTCTTCTAGCAGCACATACGCGCGAACGAACTCGGGTTAGCGACACGGGATGGCGTGGCAACTGATCAACCGGACGAACGGAACCGACACTGAACGAGCGATCACTTGAATTAACCAGAATTGCACGAGCTGGGGAGACGACCCTGAATCGCTGCTGCATAGTATGGGCCAGCTTCAACTTGGTTACACGGTATTTCAAGAGAGCAAGAACAAACAACATTTACGCGGGATAACCTGAATTCAGATTATTTGGTGTCTTCTCGTTCAGCCGCTTACAGACAAATCGTGGAAAGAGTAAAGGAATGCAATTGAAATAAGGGGTCAATAGGAAAATCAATAAGACACTGAGCAAACCAAGGTCATTGCCTGCGTCCTACCAGGGTAAGGCAAGACTGGCCACAAAGTCTACTTGTTTGCAAAGATTTGGCTTCATTCGTCGGATGGCCGAGGCTTCAGCGAAACGAAGCAAGCTCGCGTTGTTTTGTCTGCTGATAACCTTGAATGCGCCACGTGGATTTTCGCACAAGGTACAATCAAGCAGATGCTGAGCGATGGCGCTGGCAGGGAGTTTAGGTCCACTACCGATTACGCCAAGCCATAAAAAGGTGCTATTACGCAGCTGAGCTCGTGTTGTTACATCAAACCAAGAAGCTGTTCCATGAATCCAACTTGGATAGGCCTCACTCTCAGGTTACCGCCTCATGTGTTTACCAATTCACCTGTACTTGCGGTAGCATGTACATTGGCCGAACCGAGAGAAGGCTATCAACTAGGATCATGGAACATGTTCCACGGAACCTGGCAAATAGTGGACCTAAACTCCCTGCCAGCGCCATCGCTCAGCATCTGCTTGATTGTACCTTGTGCGAAAATCCACGTGGCGCATTCAAGGTTATCAGCAGACAAAACAACGCGAGCTTGCTTCGTTTCGCTGAAGCCTCGGCCATCCGACGAATGAAGCCAAATCTTTGCAAACAAGTAGACTTTGTGGCCAGTCTTGCCTTACCCTGGTAGGACGCAGGCAATGACCTTGGTTTGCTCAGTGTCTTATTGATTTTCCTATTGACCCCTTATTTCAATTGCATTCCTTTACTCTTTCCACGATTTGTCTGTAAGCGGCTGAACGAGAAGACACGAAATAATCTGAATTCAGGTTATCCCGCGTAAATGTTGTTTGTTCTTGCTCTCTTGAAATTTCTGAAGGGAAATGGCTACACGGTATTTGTTTGATCAATAAGGTTAACTCCCTAAATGAAATGTGTTGATCTATCTACACAGATCATCACCTGTTGATCGTTTCTCCGAGCTTGATAAAGCGGTTGCATACGTTTCACCACCATGCGAGGTGGCATCTTCAGTGCGGTGATATTCAGTGTGTAATCCTGCTTATCGAATCGTCAGTCCGTCATCCACGGCAGGTGACTTTTGAAGGTGGCATGGTGGTGAAACGTATGCAATCCCTTTATCAAGCTCGGAGAAACGATCAAGAGGTGAGCAACCAACCCGGGCTACCAGTGTTCCAAATTATTTCCTACACATATCATCTGGGTGTTATGTTGGCACTCCAGCACATTGTACTCTTGAATAGTTACCTCCAAAATAAAGCGTTCCAGATTGTTTATCCAACTTTTCGGTAAACCTGACTCCCCGATATGTCCAAGATTCAGTTATGTTTAAAAACTCCATTGCACCACAAGATTCACCTCTTGTCTCTAGATGAAACCGTTGATCATTACGCTGCCTTGCACCGCGCGTTTTCCAGCTGTTATAAGTATTGAATATATTTACTTTGTAGCTGGAGCAACCAACAGCCTTTAAACCGTTCGAAGGGATTGGTCATCAGCTGAAGACAAAGACGAAACCGAAGGCATGATGTATGGAGGCCGCTGCATGTCCACCACTTCAACTCCCCCACTGAATCTTTCCTTACTTTAATTGCTTTATCCGGACCACCTATGTTTATTCATCTATTTCCGCTTCTCCACAAGCTGTAACTCAGTTTGCGCGTTGTGAAAAATTCGCTCTCTGGTCTGCCACATTGGCTCAGGTATTTTCTTCAGCTTAGATGGATCTTATCCAACTACTGACCAGACAAATTACCTACGACTTTTGTCGATGCTTGCTATCGTTACATAGGCTAATCACACTTTTTGTTCTCAACAGCGTCGAGGAACAGATTTACTTCTGTTCGCATCCTTGTTTGTACGTTGTGACGCAACCGGCGATTCGTGCGATGGGACTGGCCTATAGTCGCCGAAGTAACCCAAGCGTGGCACAGTGGTTCGCACATTTCTATCTATTGATCCGCATTTGGTTATGCTCCAGTTCACTTGCAGTTGAGCTGAACTCCTTTGAACACCGAAACACGATGAGTCCAGTTACCTAGATTCGTGCCCTCATACTGATACTTGACTACCATCTGGTAAAGACAAACCCACAAATATAAGGGACAATTAGTAAACCGAAGTTGTACTAACCCCTTATTAGAATCCCAACCGTGTGAAATACGAGAGCTTTATGACTTTCTGGCTACGTGCCAGTTGAAGAATCGCCCATGCAGCCAATTTCATTTTGCCTGTTACAACTGCGTCTAAGGGGCAAAAAGGTTTTTTCAACTGGTTAATGATGTGCTGAAGGGGTAGTGATTGTGACTCTGATGGGCAGGCGACTCAATGCTTACAAGGAATCAATTGATACAACCGATACACGAGTTTTAGGCCAACGTGGATTGAAAAAGAATTACCAGTCACAGTATTAATTCGATGCATGGATGACTGTCTCGACCTCTTCAAAAAGATAATGTTTAGCAGTACAGTTCCATTCTGCCAGTCAATTTGGATTCAAGTACCGAAAGACAATGAGCCGGTGTCACGAATTGCATAGCTACGAAATCAGTTAGTTGGTCAAATGGAATATAACGCGAGCAAAGTGCGACAGCAAAAAAGTTCTTCAGCTTTATATTTGCAACATAACAAAACACAAGCATCACTTGTTAGGCGGCTTAGCTAGGTTAATTACTATGTTGGACCTCGAGACATCCACACACACACACACTAGGACAGTAAATATCAGCCCGGTTGGACCTCTGAGTCCGTTTATTCACACTTCTTTTCTAACGTCGTCTAAAGCCGCTTTGCCGTTCCGCCCACCTAGCTGCGGCGACGTTAGACACTACGAACCGAATTAAGCTAGTATGGGATGGGCTCAGTCTAACAAACGTCAGCGATCCATTTTCAACAGGCAATCCATTGCAGTTCGGCAATATGCTCGGTTTCCAGATACCAACCATCGGACTGAGAATATCAGTTGATACCAATTAGTAACAAAGCGGCTTTCAACTAAGGAGAAGCTATTATGATAAGTCGTGTGCATGCATTCCGCTGTTCCAGCGATCGAAGAATTGTGAATTCGAGATCAACGTGCCCTCTACCAGGGCAGAAGCTAACCTGAATTTCAATGATATGGTTCTCACTAGTACTAATGAATCGCCGCAGAGTGATACTTTTGGTATTTAGGTGCATTGGTTGTACAAGACCCAGACAGCACATCTAGCCTCATAGGAGTTCCCATGCGATTCACAAGTGACAGTCGCAGTGGTGGCGGACATGGAGGACTGTTTATGCAGGTGAAGGTTCCAGCGAATGATCGGGGTTCTTTGAGTTTCCTGTGGTGGAGAGAGTGATTATAACTCTGATACCTTGAAGTATCAAATGACCGCTCATGCACGTGGGCGACTTCATGTCCCATTTGTGCTAGTTTCGCCTTGCGTCGGATGGTGGGGGGGGGGATCGATTTGACAGAAAGGTGTCAGATACTTTCATGAATGGATTCTAGGTTGATGACTGATTTCATTGCCATGCATCCCTGAAGCAGTCCAGTTTGTTGTGCAAATTCTGGAACTGCTTGCTTAAGCCTCAAGGCGGTGCCGTATACTGAGCTCTCAGGTTCTATTAAACCCCTTGGATGCATCAAACTGATACGACGTCGCATATTAGGTGTAGAATGAAACGCAATTGATGACGCCTTTCTGTTCCGTTTCGATGTAAAGGATGTGCGAAGACGAGATCAATTTTATCTGTGGTATCTTTACGACTCCCTGGAGTTGATTGCTTCTAGCACCATGCCCGCAAAGCTTCTTCCGCAGAGACTGTGCAGGGATAAACTCGGCTGGAATCAGCCATTTGTGTCAGCAGATGAAATCTCATGGGAAGTTTGGTTAACAGGAATTAGAGAACTAGGTGAAATACTACTTCCCAGATACGTACGCGGAGGCCACCATTGCGCACTGCTGCATATCTTTTGCGACGCTTCAGAAAGAGGTTACGGATCTGTCGCCTACGCATGATTCGTCAATCCGGACACCAATGTGCTTTGCTCTGCTGTACGCGATATCCAGAGTCGCTCCACTGAAATCCGTGTCCATTCGCAGACTAGAACTAACTGCACCCAAGCTTGCAATCCATGTGTTTGAAGATGTGGTCCTAGTGTCCAAGATTGACTTTGAGATTCCATAGTAGTGATGCACTGCATCAACAGCCTACGCACTAGATTCAGCACGTTCCTTGCGAGTCGCCTATCGGCTATTCGTGAAGTATCGACCCCGAATCAATAGAGGTATGCTTAGTTGCGTTTGGAGTTAGAAGAGGTTGGCATTCATGAACCACATTTGTGTTTTAGTCGATTACCAGTAATTCACAATGAATGGCTGGGTCGGCTTGTTGAAGACTGCCACAGGTCATTGTCTGTGGTGACGGATCTTGAATCCCGTTAGTTTAAGGGGGGATTAGCGGCCACAGGTAGACTTGCCCAGGGTCGGGTTAGAGTTTTTTGATGCTAACTCTGCTACATATTGAAAATTCCTTAAGCGGCTTGATTACTTTGTCGAATGCCAATTGTTGGATGGTTCTCGGACTAAAGTCGGTGGCTATAACACGTAAGCGACGTATCAAATACGGAACAGTAGTGAAAATGAAGACAGCTGGACCCAGCGTACATTAAACATACTGTAAGTAATGGATAACAAATCGGCAAGGACGAGGAACGCGTAGCGCAGGATCAACCAGATTAAAAGTGAAAACGGATGTACACACAGTTAAATAATTGGCCATTAAGAACGTGTAAACAAAAAATCCAGTGCTCTGAAAGAATGAAGCATGTATGTTCTCAGGTACACTACATGGTGCCGGCTCACACACCTTCAACATGCACAGCAACAGCATTCCTGTCCGTCTAATTGGTAGGGGTCATGCGTACCAGACGTACACAAGGCGGTGTCTGGGTTCTGTTCCGCTCCACACTGGATGGAATCACTCTTTGAGCCTAGCACGGTCAAGAAGACCGCTCACCCCGTCTCCCCAATGCAATCAGTCTAGTGGTTTCTCGACAGGTAGACAGCTAATCAGCAGCCACATCGGCGATATCAAACAGCAAGGACATACTATGGTAGGAGATAAAAACGCAAACTAGTGGGTTTACGCCAGCATGAGGGAACAGAGCGAATGAAAGCATGTGTATTTAGTCTGATTTAGTTTAAGGGCAGGTAAAGATGTAAGTCAATGGATATCAACTGAATAACACTGGAAACAAAAAATAAAGCGCGCAAAATAGGCAACAAAATTGCGGAGGATTTACGGAACTGTGTGGATAGGATACCATCTAGTATAATGCGGAATAAGTGCTGATCATTTTAGCCCAACCGCGATGAAGAAACATACTAAATGCAACATCAACCTCAGTATGAGACACTGGTTCGAAACATGCTACTTTCGTTTAACACGTGAATACTGCATGTGGGAGCAAGTAGAAATATAAATCTGTACAGCTCCGCAATATAGTCAAAAATGTGGTAAAAAGTGTATGCACTCCGTGATAATCAAATCGTTCGATAAGCTCTTATGTAGCATTTTAGAATGTCTGTCACAGGGTCCACAAACGCAAGAGGTCATTGCTAGTATGCAATCGTTCTCTGAATCGAATGGGTCTGAAATGTAATAACGTTTTGAACCGTTGTACAGATTTAGCCTCTACGACTTGTTCTGGCAGACTGTTCCAAATCTTTACCACTCGCCGAAGCATAGGGGATGACGTAATCCTCTTATATCCCGCACCACAAGCTTGTACTTGTGTCCGTATGTGTTGCATGAAGTACGCAAATGAGGCAGCAACCCTCGACATGGGGAAGTCACCGCGATGTAATATACGGTAGGTCATGATGAGATCAACTCGCAGCCGACGATAGGACAAGGTGTAGAGTCCGGTTTTCTTGTACGGTCTACGTACGATAATTCTCCTAAAACTGGAATGAGCCTGGTGCCGATCTGTTGGACCCGTTCGTTCTTCTTTGCCTCGCCTCGGGTGATTGGGCTGGAGACAGCTGAGCCGTACTCCAGTATTGGTCTTATGATGAAAGAGAAGAGGCGAGTGGCGGCCTCTTCAGACCAGGTACCGAAGCTGCGTTTGATCACCCAGAGCATGCGCAGTCCGTTACGATATTAGTCTGTTTGTGTTGTCAACAGACTACAAATCGCAGCGCAAGCGTACACCTTGGTCCTTCAAGGAAGGGGTGCGATGTAGCGGTTGGCCGTTAATAGTATAAATTCTGCCATCAACACCCCCAGGCTCCTATATACCGACTTGGATGGGTCAACCGGGAGGTAGACTTCCACAGACCACATGGAGAACCGGTTGAGGTCGTGCTGTAGTAGGCTGCAGTCGTCTGGGGTACTAATTTCTCTCCAAATCTTCAGGTCGTCCGCAAACATGGCACCCGGCGACGGAAGAAATTGTGGTAGATCGTTGATGTGGATTAGGAACAGAGTAGGCCCCAGCACCGTGCCTTGAGGTACACCACTAGCAGAGGCATACCATTCGGTTAGATGGCCGCCGACCTTTACTCTCCACTTTCGCTTAGCGAAAAGTCCTGAATCCACTGGTGTAGTGATCCACCAACACCACATATTCTCAGCTTGTGCAGGAGGACCTCATGGTTTACCGTTTCGAACGCTTTATTCAAATCGATGTAGATCACGTTGACAGTCTTCCCCTGATTTACTGCCTACAACCATTCATGTCTCATCACCAACTGGTTGGTAATGCTTGAGCGGCCTAGCATAAAACCGTGCTGTGCGAACGTCAGTAGATCTTTTGTATTGAGCAGCTGTAGTTGACCCTTCTCGGCAACGTTGGCCAAAATAGGTGTCAGACAAATCCGCCTGTAATTGTCCACCTTACTG